TAAGAATAACACTAAGTATATTTTTATGTTCATGTTACTAACAAAGTTAGCTTCGCCATTTCTGTTTTGAAAACTAAAACTTTTGAAGATTTCTATTCAAAACTTCTATCAGACTTATTTCAAGAACCTTACAGAAGTTTCTAACGTTAGAAGGCATGCGGAGTTTATATAACTCTGTTACTAACTAAGTTAGAAGAGTACAAAATTTATGCAATTCTGTTACAAACATTAGCATATTTAAACTTCTAAATGAGCTTATAAAATTCTGCGGAACTCTTGAACTTAAATTATTTTAAGCGAAAGAGTTACTCGAAATTTTAGCAACGAATTTTAATATTTTAGAGAACGTTGACAAAATTAGATACGATGTTTGTGCGAGTAGAATAAAGATTCCTGGCATGTAGTCATGGGCATGCTTATGCCTGTAAATAAAAACTTTTATATACGGTTTAGTAATATTTATTATTAGCATAGATAGAAATCATACATTAATCAAGGTATAAATTATTTATTAACTTTAATATAGGTAAATTAATACTTTAAATATAAATGAAATATTAAGCAATTTAAAAAGCAAAATTATACATAAATTGATATTTTTGTTAATTAATTTTAAGTTTAATTAAAATGGAAACTTGAAGTGACTTCGTAAGGGGATTCTTAAGAATAATGTTTAATTAATATAGTTACTGTTATTATTAATCAAATTTCCATTACAAGTACCTGACTTTTAGGATTATAGCAGATTGCAGTGATTTAAATTAGAAATTAAATCGACCAACTTCATTCTACAGTTTTTCTGAAATGAAATTATTATGTAAATTATTTTGCAATCTTTTTCATATATAAAGAAGACATTGGGGGAAAACTTCGAAAAAAATTATTACAACAAGTTTTATTTACTTCCAACTAAGATATAAATCATACATTAATAAATATATTAATTAAATGTTTACTTAAATAGGAATAAATTTATACCTTAAATATAAATTAACTATTTTCTTAAATAGTTAGATTTATACCTAAAATTAACTAGAATGTTTGTACGAATGGAATATGTTATTGATTCCAATGTTATCGACCTGATTAGTTACATATTTATGCAAAAAAGGTAAGAAAAAAACATTTAGTATGGCTAAGTAAATTTATAATACTAGTCTAGGTAGAAATATTATATTAATCGGAATATCTATGGGCAGGGATTGCCTGGTACGGCGTTGGGCCCATGTTCTAAGAGATTGTGCGTTCGATCCTCACCGGCCGAAGACGCCGGTGTTGTAAATAGTGACTGGTGCACGTTAAATCTGCCAAGTCACAAAGTTCTTTATATTCCCATAACAAATCGTACCCCTGGGGTACTGAATTGGTGATTGATCATTCTCTGGTTTAAGTCAAAATTACGATCTGTGGGTGAATCAATGGATATAACAATGGGTCCGCCTTGTAAACGGGTTGTGACGTATGTGGGTGGCAGAACTCGAATTCTTGGCCATTGATGGTGCCACTAGAAAACAAGATGGTGCGATCCCCATTTGCTTTAATGGCATTCGACAACAACAACCTCAACTTCTGTGTCAATAAAATTATACTTTGCATTAAATATTTACTTTAATCTAGATAAATTATTACTTTAAATATAAATCAATCTTAACTTTTATACACCCACACTGTAAGAAATTTTGAGGTGTTGATCCAAAGTATTGTTCCAATTTGCTGCAACTGTGGTGCTAAGTTGAAAAATATTATCGAACTTCTTAAACGTGATTAAACGATAATATGGGTCAGCTGGAAAAGAAACATAATTCAATCTTACAACTTATTATGGTTTCAATAAATGAGCGTTCCATTATCATTCGTTGCTGAACCGATCCTGAAAGTGAACTATAAACTAATCAACAGTGAAACAGCATGATTTAGTTTTCAAATATTATTATATGAAAAATGCAGAATAAGTCCTAAAAATAACCTGCGATTTGGAAGGAAAAAAAAACTAAAATGGAAAGAAATGCGGATATACGGTTGGTTGTATTCTTCCAAGGAAATATAGATTTTTTTTCGTGAAATTTTAAATGTAATTTCAAGGTTCTCCAACAGTTGGCTCTGTGAATAAAAAAAAGCACTAATAAAAATATTTAACTACATGCCATTCTAAAGGAAATATTTGCATTGGGCATCAGTTTACTTAGGCTACAGGCAGTAAGAGTTTTGGAACAACGCATTCTGGTGACGAGCTTTTTCGATAAATTTAAAGCTTACATAATAACTGGTTTCCTGAGCAGAAAGCAGTATGTATACTTTTATTAACTGTATGCTTCGAATCAAACTGTATTATTTATGAATATTTTTTAAGTTCTTTTTTATGTGTTTTATTAAATGGCTGTTCACTTTTGAGACACCCGGTATACATTTGAAAAAAGAAAAAAAAAAGATTCACGTTGTATCCTACCAATTAATGTGTAGCGTCCATTTTTAGGTCTGTGATTAAAAATATATTATTAACTCAAAAGTATTACTTTTTGGCACACACTTTACATACATTATTTTTAAGCGTTCATTTTATGCAGATTATATAGTAACACAGTATCAAACATAACGTAATATTGTAGTTTCTTACTTGCTTTGTAGTTTTTTTATGATTTAATCAAGTGGATATCCTTCATTTCAATATTTAAAATGCAGTAAATAAATAACAGTAATTCCATAAAAAATTCGAAGAATTTTTTTTTGGCTAATTGGCTTTATAATATATCAAATTAATTTGCAAAAATTTAAAAATTTAAATAAAAATTCGAATGATTCTCTAGATTTGTATACTGCAAAGTTTAGGCTATTTACTGAATTAATATTTCAAAAATTTTTGGAAATTATCTAAATTTATATTTTACAAGTTCAAGGTGATTATAAATTCAGAAATTGCATTTTTAAACCACTAAATATATGAGCGAAAGCATTTGGATATGTTTCTATGAATTAAAACTTAAAACGCATATTTTAAATTTTTTTCTAAAAAATGCACTTTTAGTGGTTTTTTACTACTTACAGTTCAATAATAGTACGTTAGAATCAAAATGAAAATAAAAACGTATACATATTGGAATCGTCAATCAATATTTAAGCGTTGAAAAAATAAAAATTCAAAGAAAATCACAGTAGGCGAAAGCAAATGTAAAAAGCAAGACATGTTTAATTGGAGGTTAAATTTTGAAGATGTTTCTAATGGTCGCCTTTTAATTCCTCACCATTTCCTACCTCAAACAAACCTGTCGCGTTTACATCACCCTTCTATACTGCGATTAGTCAGAGTTCAATACCATGTACCCCAATGTATGTACTTTTCTGTTTTCATTTTTTAAAAAATACATAATAAGGGTGGTCTTTACGGAACACCGGCATTACGGATCATTGGCATTAACTTCAATTTTTCAAAATTAAAACTGTTTTTACTCAAACGCTAATAATAATCATAGCAATAATAATAATAATAATAGTGAAATAACGATGTGGTGTAAGTAGAACTTCGCATTGATAAATAAGAAAACAAGACAAGATATCATTATAACATTTATCAACAAGATGGAGGCATACGTTCGATTTAGAAGAAAAAAAATGACAAATCAAGAACATCTGCGAATTTGTTTAGGGTGCTTTTTTTAATTATGTATTAAAAACTTAATGTTTGGTTGTTTATTAAAAAAAATTGATTTTATACAAATTTAATTTTAAAAAAAAAATTAAAATTTTTTTTTTTTAACACAATCTTTAACAGCAGTAAAATATATTATAATGCTTACCGAAAAAAAAAAATTATTTAGATTTTTATTTAACGAAATGAAATGCAAGCAATTAAATTAAAATCTATGTGACTTCAGAAATTTTGCCATATTTAAGTCACTTAATTTTACTAGTAAAAATATTCGGAGTAGATTTTCAAAATAAAATTTTCTTCACGAAATTTTTCTTCAATTAATGATTTCTTTTCAAAAACTAGATACTAATAAAATTTGTTGTTTAATTTTGCAAGAAAAATTCGTCTTAAAAAACAATTAAATTACATAAATAAATAATTTTGAATAAAACAAAATAAATATTATAACTAATTTTGTTCTATTCAATTTCGTTCATTCATGAAAATTATTTTCTTCAATAATATATTTTTTCTTGCTATTGATTGCAAAACTAATTAGTTTAAACTACTTTAATAAAGAATAAAGGACAAAATAGAAGTTTAAGCGGAAAAAAAATGTTTTTTCAAGGCTATAAATCTCTGTTATTTATTTGAAAAATTGTTTAATTGCATTTTTTTCTTAATAAACAGTAGCATATCCATCTATATAAGTAAAAAAAGAAACAGTTGAAAGAATGATATCTTTAACAAAACCGATAAAACATGTATCTATATATTTATACATATTTATATATTTCAGAAAATCTAATACTTAACAAAAAAAAAATAATTTGTTGGAAATTTTTTGATTCAAATATTTTTTTAGTGTTTAAAATTTAGGATATTTTTTGAATGGAAAGTCATTTTTAAGAAAGTTTAAAATTACTTTCTAAAGAACTTTAAAAAGCTTCTTTGAAAAAAAATTAGTTGGAAATTATTATAATTGCATAAACCACAGTAGTTTAAACATGCTCTACAAATTAATTAATAAATTGTTCTCTATAATTTTATTTATGTTTTTGACAGCCCATTACTTTTGATTTTATTGCATTCAGCCATAAAACTACTCAACAACCCTCGTCATTGAAACAGCTGTTTGGCGACAACATTTATGTATTTATCGCTGGCCCTGCTTTGCTTGGCAAGATAACAAAAATTTACATGCTTATTATTTATGCGGAAAGAAATTTTTCTGTATGTTAAATTTAATTTTTGTGCCCGAAAATATTGCTCTCATTTATTTTATACTTTTGATAGTTCTATTCGATCGAAAAACTCGACATTCATTAGTTTCGAACCTCTTTGGCGAAATATTTTGTAGATAGTCTCGCCAAATAAGACAAGTTTTCCGCACTCTTTTTCTCTCGCTTTACACTTGCTGTGGCTGGTACACAAACGTGTTTTGATATTGTGTTTTCATTTTTAATTACGCCCCCTCTTCATATGTCATTGCAACAATATTTATTTTAAATTATTTAAAGTTTTTTTTCTCTATATTGTTTCTTGGATAATACGTAATCAGGTTTGTGATGGTTATTTTTACTGGAATTCATATTTTATTGTTAGATCTTGTAAATTTGTGTCATATAACTTGCAATCGAACGGCATATTATTTCAGGTTGTGTCTAATACCGTAATTTAATATTTGTACTTTCTGAATTGTTGCATTAGTTTTATTTGTAGAAATCATTTTACATTTGTCGAGGTGAACTTTGAAATCCATTCTTAATGTGTTGTTAAGATATGAAAGTTACACAGCTTAAAATGATGCTAAACATGTTTATTAACAATTGCAAATCGCATATATTTACTATTAGGATCGAGTGCATTAAAAAATTTTATTATTTGATTTTACAACTAAAGGAATAAGTTGTCAACTTGATTATCAAAAAATATACCTTACTTTTTTAAAAGTTTATTAAAATGTTTGCTCTAGAATTCGTAGCTTTGCGCAAAAATAGTTATATATTATTGCAATAATTACTGTTATTCTACATTTATAAATTTTTTTATTTCATTTTATGTTTTTATATTTAAATTTACTTTCTAAAAATGAACATGTTTGGTTTTAATAAAAATACATTCAACTTTCCTATTGGCTATGATCTCAAAGTAATCAGTGTTTCAAACAACTTTTTATTGTTTTGGGAAATCATAGTAAATAACTTAAGTTTATTTTCTGAATTTATTATTAAATATGAGTTTTAATAGGTGTACATTGTTAGAATTAAAGTTGTGTTAAATAATAATTAATTTTATAGACTTAGAATTGAATATGAACACAGTATCTGTTTGAGTTATATGCAAACATATTGGTGACTGATATCTTTAATGATCAGAATTGACTTTATTCTCTTCATGGCTTACAAAAAGTACATTATTTTTTTAGAAGTTTATTTAAATTGCTTTATTAAACATATATCTAACATTGTACTGCATATGTTTATCTGACTTATATAAACTATAATTTTTTTAACCAATATTTTGTGAATAGTGTTGCAATTTTTATTTGATTAATTTTATTTTGTTTGTTGATCCCTGATACTTATTATGCAGGTGGAGCTGTTAAGGCCAGTGTTTTTCACCCAGAAACACTGGCCTTAACTGCTTTTAAATGATCTATTTAAGGAAACAGTTTCATTAATGCATTTTTCGAACTGCTACATTTCTTATCATTCAATGGTTTAAATCATTACTTTCATAAAGATATGTTTTTATATTCAATCTATCAAATAATACCAATGATTAATCAATCTCTTAATTATATATCCTGTTTACTTGCAAGTTGCAAGTATTTGTTTTTCATGTGCAATCTTTCTATTCTGCCATGCAGTTGGAGAAAATAATATTAACGACAAAAATTAAGAATTTAGATATATGTATAAGTATATTTGTATATTACGCTTATTATTGCAAAAAAAATTATTTTTCAGGAATAAATTTTATTTTATCAGTTTTTGGAACTTCTGTTTTAGGACTCAAAGCATTAGCAATAGCAGAAAAATAGTTATTAAGCCACAATGTCTAATAATCTGTAATTGAGCACTAAATTGCTCGGCAGTGTTTAGTTCGTGTGATAGGTAATAGAAAACTTTTTCTTGTAAATTTAGTGACTGTTACGACAAAAGTTTTCTTTTGTAAATGGTAATATAAAACTGACTCTTAAAAGAAAACCTAAATTAAGTTTTTCGTACTGAATTAAACCTTTTCTTGTTTCAGGCGTTCATCTTTAATTTTTTAAATATTAATTCTAGGTTTTTATGTTGATTCAATTTTCTAATATTTTTAACTGTTATAGGTCCTATATCTTATTAATTGTGTAACTAAATATTTTTCTTTTGCAGGTCACCTATCTTAACAATGACTGTCTAAGCTGATTTACATACAATTTTAGTTTGCAAATTGGCTTAATTCCTTTTACTAGAAATGATTAAACAATCAAATTTGTTGAAATGGGCTCAAAATAACAAGAACAACTCAAAAAATGGAAGTAAGAAAACTAATTATGTTTATTTCTGTTCCATATTTTTAAACAAAATTATTGTTTCAAAAACCTTTTGAAAATGTATTTTTATATGCAATTTAATTGTTTTTTTAGCTCTTTTTGAAAAACTTTTTTAAAGTGTAGTAAAAGAGTTTAAATAGCATTTATTGTTCTTTTCAGGCATACGTTTTTAGAAAAATTATTTACCTAATTAATTTGGTTTTTGGTTCAACCATTTTGGTTGAAACAAGCTTCTGTAATACGAAATATTTTACTATTTATTAAATTTTAGAACTCTTTTATTTTCAGCTGTATACCACAGTGTTGTCATCATAGAAAAAAAATGGGTGAGAATTTCTCACCCTTTCTCAAAAACAGCTTGAGATTTCAAAAAGTTAAGTGAGAATTCTAAAAACTAAAAAAACACAAAAACTCCTGAAAAAAAGTCATTTCTTTAATTATAATACATTTTTGACGTCTTCTATTTTAAAAGCATGGAATAATTTTGGTGCATCATCATAGAAGATTTTGCCTTTACAAGGTATTTGTCCATCTTACATTAGCACATAAAAAATTTGAACGCACATGAAGAAACCTTACCTACGGTAAACATGTGGTTGCAGAGAAATGTGTTCTGTAAAGGGTTCCGTGGTTGTGTTCTGTCGTTCGAAAAGGTTCTGAACAATACTGGTAAATAGATAAGCTAGATAACGGGGCAGATGTTGAACATAATGAAAGATCCAGGAAGAAAAGTGAAACAGATTTTATTCTAAATGGCGTAATTTGAAGCTTTTTCAAAAGTACGAGAAATTCACGAATTTTGAAATTGATTTATAGAATGCGTAAATTTCTCGCGGTTATCATTTTTTAATGCGAGAAAATAAAAAAAATATTCGAGGTTCTTGCGCTGTAGTGAAAACACTGTACCATATTGTTTCACTTTGTAGGAAAATATTTTTTAGTTTTAGTAAAGTTAGTTTTGATGTTTTCTTCTTGGATTAGTAAATTTGATTTCAAAAAGTTTTCTCCTGCTGTTTGTAAATAATGAAAACATTATATTTAAATGTCAAAAATCTAGTTCTAATCTTATAATTAAGCCTTTAATTTTCAACCACTTAAAATAATTTTTTGTTAAAAATATAGCAGCTGGCATTACTATATTCTGTAAAAGCATGAAAGCAATAAGTATTCGTTTAGTATTCATAACGAAAAGTTCTCATCAGAATTTTACTGTGTTGGGAGAAATCCAATAACATTCATAAGGGACAAAATCTGGCTAAAGTTTTTCACGAGTCCTTGTGAATGGGATTTCAATTATTCAAAGACCAATTTTCATTGTGCATTAATGACTTTTGAATTAGCGATCGAAACAGGCTGCAAGTGGCGCAGAACAGAATTCTCTACCTATGGCAACGTTTCTCAAGCTTTCACCATTAGTGTGTGGATAATCATAGGAGAAATTAAAAATATTATTGACAATTAAATGCGAAAAATATTATGGAAAAGGAAAGTGTCTTTGTACATTCCCGTACAACTTAGAAGAGTGCGGGGGGGGNAGCGGTCAAGACATGGAATCTGTCTTCTTCTCAGATGGAGTATTGGAGCGTCACGATCCTGAATAAGCTTACTACTATTGTTTTTTTTTTCTATTTTCAATTTATTATTGAAATATAGTTGATTACAATCCATTCATTATTGTTTATTTGGTTTTCTAACATAGTTATTTTTTAATTTAAAAAAACTTATCTTGATCCCAGGGAGTTTCTTTTCTTTATGATTTGTGTAATTTAAATATGGCCATTTTAAATATGCTAATTCTTGCTTTAATAATTAAATTTTTACTTAAACTATTTTGTTCATTTTTCTGGAGATATTATTTCAACCACCACTATATGGCGATTATCAACACCACATAATCAATATTAGGTTTGAAAATACCTTGGCGATTGCCAATAGCGAACAAGACTGTGAGAATTATTATAACCATGTAACTGAAACATATTTGCAGTAAGAAATTAATAATAAAGAGCTATAAATTGATTGTTTTCGATTAGGCGCGGCAATGATTTAATGAGTCTATATTAATATTGAAATAGAAAGTTATCTGTTACATTGATTGATAAGAACAGAATAAAACATTTTATGCTCGCTTTTATACAGATTAACTTATTGATTAAAAAATAAGTTTAAGTGAAAAATAAGTTTAAGTAATAACAGATATTTTAAAAGGTAGGAAATATGTAATGCCAATTGTGGCATCACAATCATACAACATTTACTTTTTGAAAAAAATCAGTTTTAGTACTTTCTATCTTCTTAAAATATCAGTATCATGTAATCTTAAATCACCTTTTTACAACTCTTCATTTGGAATTTTCCTGTACTGGGTATATAAAAACAGAACACATACATGTGTTCTGTTTTCTTATTAAATAATAGGAGGGGAATTTTTTTCTTCATTTTATTGATTAAAAAAGAAAAGGTACCCTATTAAAATTGAGAAATAGCCAAAATACATAAATTGTAGAGAATAGTTAGAAAAATTCTTCATTGATGTGTGTTTGTTGATTTATTGTGAAAGAAATCTTTAAGTTTTTAAGTCTTTAAAATATGATTTAACTAGTTCAGATTTAAACAGTAATATTAAGTTATTATTTCTGCCTTAAGATTGATATTTATTAACATATTTTTATCTTTTTTATTTTATTTTTCAACTTGTATCATAAAGTAAATTTCATGTTAATTATTTAATTGTAGCTAACAAAAGTTGGATCCACCCCCCTGATGCTTTGCAGCATGGCCATGTCGCATACTTAGTAAAGGTAACTTCAATTGTTTCTTCATTTTACTATTTCTAATCTTCATTTCATGAATCATTTGAGGTATTTTTTATCAAATTTTTGTTTACAAAATTTACCATATTTATCATTCAAAAAACATTTTATATGAATTTCTTTTTTATTTATTAATATATTTTTTTTCCATTTTGAAATCCCGTTTATTTCAGTTTCAATATTGATTATGGATTATCTCAAGTTTATTATCTCTTTGTTATCATTCTTTTGTCTGTTACCTCATTACTTTTCAATGTTTTTTTATGAGATATTTTTTTATTGAATTGTGAGAACTGATTTCCAGCTTATCTAACCTAAATTTTTATTATCTGGATAAACTAGTTACTTTATATTTAGATGTTTATATTCTTTTTAATTTATAGGTGCATTTTCATCAATTTATTCTCAAACCTGCAGTTAAAAAAGTGCTATTTAGATTATATAACATTATTAAAAATTTAATAATGTTATTATGTCATTATTTAAAATTTAGTTATGTGACAGTATTAAATAAAATATCACATCATTTGTTAAAATATACTACTTTCCATAAATGAAGAAATATCTTGATATGATGATTCATGAATGTTTAAAACACAGACTGTATAGATTTTGTTGCTTTAACAATCTAAATAACTATCCAACTAAGTTTTTATTTTCAAAATGGAGTTGAAAATTTTGTAAACTTCTTGGTTTAACCCTTTCACAAAAAAATTACTTTCCTGCAATAAATACTATGACACTAAAGTTTCATTGTAGGTTAGTTTGTTCTGTGCTTAGAAGTAATCTGAAATTTATGAACTTATTGTTCTTTTACCTTATTCACTATAATTGTTCTGTTAGAATTAGTTTCATACCATCTTAGGAAGATTAATGTTAAACCACTGTTTGATTAAAAAAAATTGCATTCATATTATGGAGTAATAGAAATTATATTCATTATTATATTTTTTCTCCCAAAGCGCTCGGGTAGTGCAGTTGATAAAGTTGTCACTTTGCAACTGGTGAGCTGAGAGTTGTGAATTTTACCCTGGTTGCTAACTTAAGTACCTGAGTGATTTATACATGGCAAGGTGCATGTAAAATCAGTTGTGGCTAAAAATTATCTTATTTATTGTAATGTGCTAGTTTGGAGAGTGCTTAGACGCTGCTCACATTATGTGCTGAGGCTAAAATTATGTAGCATTTATTCCCTAACACAGAATTTTTTCCCCTAAGTGGGCACCTCTTAATTCAGACATAAATGTGTTTTTGCCATAGTTTTCTTTTTAAAAATATGCATTTACACCACATACCCTGAAAAATACTGATTTTTAGTTGAAACTCACCAAGACCAATAATTTTTTTTTTTCTTGATACAAAATTCATTTATTGTTCACATGTTTGTGTCATATTTTTGGGGTCAAATAAGTAGAATAAAAAATTATGGTTGCTACACTGAATTGTTACAATTGACAACATTTGAACAATTTTTGTTTTGTTATTAAAGAGTTACGTATACAGGGCTGCCAACTTTCTATGCTTTTTAGAATAAGAGATTTCTAATGGTAGTTATGTTTGTTTTCATGTATTCTCTGTTTTGTAAATTTGATATACTGATATTTTTTTCTATACGTAAATGATTCAAAAGTTCATGTAAAAATCCACTTTGTTCTTGCTCTGCCGTGGTGAGGCTTTTAAAAAGTTACCGAAAACTCTGGAAACTTAAGTTTTTATTAGTCTACCTATCTATAAAATACTTTGTAAAAAGCGTAGTAGTTCGCATCCCTGCAATTTATTTGTGAAATGATCTTTAAGTTGTGAAATATCAAATAGATTTGATTGAACACTGGAAGTTATTTTCTTGTGTAATTTGGATTTAAAATTTATAATGAAATAAATTTTCTGTTCAGTTTTATTTAACACCTATTTAAGTTTATGATTTATTGGTTTATCTATTTTGTCTCTATCTTCACAAAAAAATCTGATAGTTCTGCTTTTTTTTATTATTATTATTTATTAATGACATTAGAATTTTGCATTACCCTGTAAGATTCAATGTTTTGAACTTTTCTATCAGTTCTAAAATTACTAAAAAGAAATTCAAACTGCAGGTGATGACTTTAAAAATTTTCATATGTCCTAGGTAGGACTGGGCTATAAATCGATATATCGCGACATATCGATTTAACGCCTATATCGGCAAACCGATACAGCAACTTTCATTCCAAGCGATACATCAGAAATCTGATTTAAGCCGTCGAGTGAAGAAGACGATATAGCGATACACGCAAGGACTTTCTCTTACGTTCCNAGGGGATGCTCTAAAAATTCAGTATAGTTGTATATGATTTTTTTTCATTAATTATTGGAAGGTCATAATTCTAAAATGCTTTCTTGTGAGTAACCAAGCTCGTGGCCCTAAGCTCATAGCATTAAATTATTGCCAAATTTTTTTACCTTCTCTTTGAATATTATAATTCATTCTTAAAAAATTTTCTCTCTTTAGTTTTTAGGAAGTGTTGAAGTTGACCAAGCAAAGGGTATTGATGTAGTTAAAGATGGCATTCGAAAATTAAAAGTAAGTTTTATGTGAACTTTTCTGTAAATTTTGAACTTCTGAACTTAATTTGTAATTTAATTTATCAGCCTACTGATTTTTGGATATATTTTTTTATGTTTTTTGACAATTCAATTGAAACTTCTAAATTTTACTGCAGTTTCCAAAGTTTATTGAATTCTGACATCAAAATTTAGACTGTTTTTAGTTACTAAAGTAAATTTCTAGAAAATCTTTGTCTTTCTAGTATAGTATGTATATTATAAATTATTTCTACATGCAATCATATACAACTTTTTAAATATTTTTGCAAGCAATTGAAATGAGACTGAAAAATATGAAATTAAATAATGTGCTTCATTATATGTCTGCAGTATATTTAATTAAAAAAATTATAGATTTTTCTTTCTTCATGTGGAATTTAATTTTTTTCTACTTCTATTACTTGTAATTTTTTATATCTTTAAAATCTTTTTATTTACATTCTTTTGTGTAAATTTGTAATGTCTCATTGTTTGCTTAAAATTTTTCTTAACTTGTTTTTACATATTTGCCAGGTTATCGGTGGTCATCTTAAAATATTTTTATTTCCTTTATTTATGCATGATAAATAAATAATTTCAGTAATTGTGTTTTGGTTATATTTCAGACAATAAGCTTAGTTTTTATTATGTACAAAATATTGTTATTACAGTCCTTTACACAGTGTTTTCANGCGGATTTTATTCTAAATAGCGTAATTCGAAGCTTCTTCCAAAATGCGAGAAATTCAGGAATTCTGAAATTGATTTATAGAATGTGCGAATTTCTCGCATTAATAATTTTTTAATGCGAGAAAAGAAAAAAAATATGCGAGATTCTCGCGCTGTAGTGAAAACACTGTTTACAGGCACAATATTGTTTACTTTCTTTTATGGTTAATTTTTTTTTGTAAAGGCTTGCAACTTTGCTGTTGTCGATTGCTAGCATAACTTTTGCATTTTGAGATTTTTAATTTTCCTCTTAAATGCTATAGTTTTTATTGTATTATTTTCAAGTACTAAGTTTTGCAATTTAAATTAAATAAGTGTGAACCATTTTTCTCTAAATGAATTCGCAAATGTATTTTAGTAAGGAGTTTTTTTTGTCATTAGTGCGAAATTTTTATTCCTTGATAACTATTTCAGAAACATATTTGCATGGATAAAAAATTTAACTTCAATGCAAACAATAATCAGTGTTTAATTTTGAAATCATTCTGTATATTAAATTGGTATTTGGACACACAAAAATAGGTAGAATGTTGATCATCCTGGCATTTGCAACCATTATTAGTATAATAAGAATTACAAGAGGGGCCTCAATATATGAAACAAAAATTCTATACAAGAAATTTTAATTTGGGATGCTTTAAAAAATTACAAATATTTAAATTCATTCATAAAGAGTATCCTCTCTAGCCAATTCTAATTAATTCGAAAACCTCCTAGCAATACCTCATATTTATTTTTATCGTAAAGTACACTGATTTTCATGAATGATAATGTATTAATGCGTAAATTACCAATGCTAAAAGATGATTGAATACCTAATAAATGTATCAAAATAAACAATTTGAATTCACATATACTTTTTTTTGACTATATAGAAAATGTTAATGTATATAAATAATCATAAAGAGATATAAGACAGCTTGTAGAAATAAAAGAATTTTTTTTAATTGTTTATCAAATGGCATTTTTGTATTTCATGTAAGTCATAATAAATTTTTTGGAATTAAAAAAATATTCTACATTGAGGCTTATATCCTGTCAGTTTTTACATTCTTATTATTTTTATCCAAATATGTTTATGCGGTTTAAAAAGTTTTTTTTTTCCAATTTTCAAGCTTGCTGTTATTATAAGCTACTGTAAGCAGTTACACTTCTTTTTAATTGCTGTGATTTTTAAATAATTTTAAATCTGTTGGGATTATTTAATACAGTAAAACCTCATTAAGTCGTCGTTTTCCTATGGTCCCGACTAAGCCTCATAGACAATAATGTGAAATAACCCTCTTTTACCCGTCATCGAATTTAATTCTGCTCTGGATAACTCATCACCCCAAAAAATGGCAAACCTATTTTTTTTCGCACTTTTGTATACCATTCTGTTATCTTTTTAGACCCGCCCCTTTCACTTTAAATATCTCGGGGATTTTCTGACCACCCACGAAGTTTGCTCTACAGCTGTGAGCATTCCTTTCCTATTAGGGGATATGGATTCTGGGAATTTTGCGTGCCAATCGTTCAAAGTTCTCACTTCTTGCTCCGACTCAGTCGAGTGTAAACGTCTTTCTTTATTGTACATACTTCAGTGGGACTTCATTTCATAGCAAGTAAGCCGCGCTATAAGGGCCATTTTTTTCTTACAAAATTGTGATTTGATTACGTTTCAAAATGCCGGGAAAACGAAAACTTGCCTCGTTATCTCTTAAAGAAAAAAAGGACTTAATTGCAATTTTTGAAAAGTCAAATGTTTCGAAAACAGCTTTTGCCAAAGAACATAATATTCCGAGACTAATTGAAGTGATATTCTATCATCAAAGCAAACCATTGAGGAAGCAGACTGCAAAGACAATACAAAAAGAATGAGGAAATCAAAGTTTGACGAGATCGAGGAGATTTTAGTTGGATGGTTAAAGCATGCAAGATCACAAAATGTGCCTATTTCTGCTGTCATTCTTAAAGAAAAAGCGATGGAAATTGCTAAGGAGTAGAACATGGAAGATTTCCATTGCAGCAATGGTTGGCTGGAGCGTTTCAAAGATAGAAATTGTCTCTCTTTTAAAACAATTTGTGGGGAAGCCGCAGCTGTTGATGGTGATGCTGTAAAAAATTGGAGGAATAGTGTTCTCAAGGACATTTCATCCAGGTTTGATGCCTCGAATGTTTTTAATCTAGATAAAACGGGCTTATTTTTATCGTCTTTTGCCTGATAAAACTCTATCGTTTAAGGACGAAAAATGCACCCCTGGAAAAGCCAGCAAGCAATGTCTAACACTTTTGCTGGGAGCGAATATGAATGGAAATGAAAAGCTTAACCCACTAGTGATAGGCAAGAGCAAAAGGCCACACTGTTTTAAAAACGTTGAATCTCTGCCAGTTGAATATGAAGCAAATTCAAATGCATGGGTGACTACTACGATTTGGGAATGGCATATTCGTAAATTGGATTCCCAGTTTTCGCGCCAAAAGAGAAAAGTTGCCCTTTTTGTCGATAATTGCACAACTCATAGTCAGCCTGAAAGCTTAAAAGCTATTGAAATCGTTTTCCTTCCTCCAAATGTTACTGCACTTCTTCAGCCATTAGATCAAGGGATAATTCAGGACTTCAAAAGAAAGTACACAGAAATGCTAGTAAAAGACCTGATAAAAGCATTGGATAAAAATGAAAAGTTTGAAGTTTCCGTTTTTGACACGATCAATTATGTGCATAGAAGTTGTAGCTCAGTTTCTTCGCAAACTGTTTTTTATTGCTTCAGGCACACGGAATTTGTAGCCAATGCAGAATCCGAAGATATCCTCTGTGAAGGAGTCGACCTCGAGCCCTTAGAAAATTTGCTGTAAGTTGTTAATGAAAAACGTTGCAATGTCAATGACGTAAATGCATTTGTCGATATTGACAATGACATCGCTATTTGTTCACAAGCGACTGTAAAAGATTTAATTTCAGAATTTTTAGATGAAAAACAACACAGTTCCAGTGAGGATAGTGATGATGAGAATTCGGGTGGAATTCCGCCCAGCAAGACTGAAGCATTAGAAGCCTTAGAGAAAGTTAGACAATATTTATCATCAATTGAAGGCACAACAGAGGAAGAATTCAAGGCGCTGATGAAATTGGAAAAGAAGGTTAATAGCAATCAACAATTCTTGCATCAATCCACTATGTTAAGCTATTTTAATGCTCAGAAATCAAAGAAAAAGTGGTAACTATACAAAAGTATTTGTATTCCTTTTCTACACATTTATTTGCATGTGTATTTCATTCTTAAAATCTAGTTTTTCTCAATGAATCCTACTGCAGTCCATTAAAAAACTTCAATGTTTTTTGTTTTTTTAAAGGAATTTCTAACTCCGCTTAAGTCGTCGAAAATGTTCGGTCCCTTGATCGACGACTTAACAAGGCTTTACTGTAGTTCTAGTTCTGGGATAAGCAGGAACAATCACTTATAGTAAAACAATTAAATCTTATTTTTTTAGATTTAATTTAACAATGAATGAATGTATGTGATATCGAATTATAAAACTTCATCAGAGCCATCTAGATTTTTTTTTTGTTTTACTTTTAGTGCTGAAGATTACTTTTGCAACAGAAGTTGTTTTCATTATTTTTTAAGTTCTTAATATAAGTTCTCCATCTGTAACAGAGACTGTCAGAGTCAGTTATTACCTTAAGCTAAGAAAATTTAGAGGTTTAACAAGTGGATGTTTCATATATTTTGCAACGTCAAATATTGTATAAAAAATTTTGTTCATTTTGCATGTGGTACACTACTGATTTAGTTTTATTCCTTTTTACGTTATTCTTTAATTAGCTTTTTTATATACACATTTTAGTTTAATCAACAATTGAAAAAATCAGAAGGGACCAAAACACCCAAGGTTGAAGTCACAATATCAATTGATGGTGTGGCTATTCAGGATAACAAAACAAAGGTATACTTTGCAACTCCATTTTTTTATTTACTGTTGACTTGAAAATACCTATTTAAATTCTAGATTCTTTTTTTTTAATTCTCTCAGCTGCTTTGATTTATGATTCAAAACTTGGCAATTTATTTAAAAAAAAGTTAATATTCAATAATTTTATCGTATTTTTAATCGACTTCAATATGAGTCTCTCATTTTGCACTTTTCAATTGACTTAGCTTCTAAATTCGCATTTTCCCATCAGGATCTCTAGTCCCAGTTTATTTTGTTGCTTCACATATGCATTGTCGACGACAATGCATTATAGTGACTCTCGCGGTTCAGACAAAAACGAATTTTATAATGTAAGGTCATTGAGCGCATAATTAATTATTTACTCGCAGCTAAAATAATACTTAACCAATATCAAAAAGCAATGATTAACTGCTATAATAAGTTGTTGACTTTGCAGAAAAATTGGTAATCACGGTACTTCTTTTCTATATTAATATATTTGTAAAACGCTCTTTAAAATTACTTGCGAGTGAAAAAGGCAGCTATTGCTTCATGGGTCCCATTAATACGCTAGTTTGGGGCTACCATTTTGGATAAGTTACATAGATCAAGATAACTGAGAAGATCACTTGTTTTGACACAAAAATAAACCACACAAAGATGCTGACATGGCAGAAAAAAGAGTGAATGTAATTTTCATACAAGAAAAGTATGATTGATAAATTTATTGATATTGTATCATTAGAAAAACAAAATTACATAGATTATGAATGACCATAAATTACTGTCACCTAGGACTTATGATCAGAATTTAGAGTATCATTTTACTCTCCTTTCATTCAAAAGAAACTCAAAGTGTTTTAGATTTATTGTGTGGTGACACCAAAGGAAATAATGGTTTAAATAATTTCTTTGAAATGTTTTTCTTACTCAAATGGCTAAATTTCGTTTACTATATTGAAATGATCAGTAATGTTATAATGGGTCATGCAAAAGAGTGTATACTGTATGATAACTCAATTTGTTAAATGTTTGTATAAAGATTTAAAAATCTCAATGACTTTCTTGCATTCTTGAAGTGACATTATTGATTATATATTATTCCTATGGTTGGAAATTATTTGTATTGGAAATGCTATAATGAAAATTTGTTCTTTGCAGCAAATTTTCCACCAGTACCCTCTGCATCGCATTTCATATTGTGCGAATGACAAATCTGACAAAAAATTCTTCAGTTTTATTGCCAAAGAAGATAATGGGGAAAAGCACATGTGCTTTGTTTTTGCTAGTGATAAACTTGTAAGTTTTACCCTGCATAAATGATTTTTTGTAGCTGTGTTTAAAAATAAATATTAATTAATCCCTAGTTTATTGTAAAAATTTAGTGGTAGCATTTATTATTTTCCTTTCCCCTTTCCTGTTGATTTTAATCCTTAAGATGCTTATCTTTTTGAAGAAATTTTTATTGAAATTTTGTGTCTACAATGTCTGAACATGTATATGAGAGAAACTAAGTACTATGTAATAATTAAATATTTAAGATATTTAAAGGCTTGATACGTTTTTGTACATAACCTAAAAGCTGTTTTAGTTAATAAAGTTCACACAATATTGATAACATCTTTCATCTACCTTTATAAAAAAATTTCAGCTAAAAATGATAGAATTTCTATTAAAGAAGACTGAAAAGGCAGAATTTCACACAAGTAGTTCTTAATCACTATTGCATTGTTAATAGTTTTTCTTTTTATGTACACTTTCTTTATATTCATTTATAAGAGTTATTCTGAAGTAGAGGTATAGAAATATTGCTGAAATTATTGATAGTTCAGCGTTTGATTTCTGCACAAACATGTATCATTGACTTGATCTTTATCTACTTTTCTTATCTAGTCAATTAAGCAGTCTGCAAGCTTCTCGAGAAATATATATGTTACAATAAAAACATGAAGTCTGGAATTAAGGTTATTAATATGAAGATACCTTCGAAAAGGTTTTTAAGGGTTTAAAGTAGTACTTTTTTTGTTACTGAATTTGCTAGAAACTTAACTGTTACTGAATTAGAAGAAGGAACAGTGGTACTCAAATATTTCTAGAACAAAAGAAAGACTAGTATTCTAAATTAACATTATATTATTTTGAAAATTCTTAATAATTATTGTAATAATAATCTATTAAATTTTGAAGCTCTCATAAGAAGCTCAAAATACTTGCCAAACTAATGACTTATAGTTCTGATGACTTTATTATTTAAAGGTGTCCTTTCTTTATAAAATATAATGCTTTTTTTAGAAAAAATAATATGTAAGACTGCCATTAAAATTTTTAATTCAAAGTTAGTTTTTTATTCTATACACTTCTTAGGCAATTAAAATCTGGTAATATATAGACAAATTTACTAAATTTAAGTAAAGTATTTGTCGAATATTATCAAAACTATATTCAACAAAAAATTAACTATAATTAAATATTAGATATCTATCATGTCAATTTCTGGTTAGGAGAACACTAATTCTGTTGCTTATCCTTATTGTTGCTTGTCCAGCAAGGTGAAGTTTTGTTAATAAATGCAAAAAATAAGTCACATATTAATTGAGAGCATATAAATAAAAACAAGTTACAGCAAAACAAGAGACAATTGAGTATAAGAAATCAAGTTTGCTATGATTTAAGTTGTTTATTCCTTTGTTTCTGATAAATTCCTAATGAATAGTTCTTCAGATACCTTATTTTTCAAATTAGCAATGTTATATTTTAATAAATTATTTTTAGTGCTGTAATATGCTTTAAAATTATTTTGCAATCATTTTTTAAGGCAGTATGTTATTGTTACTTTGTAACCTTAATCGAGAAACAACAAAATATTTTCTGACGTTAAATTTTTTTTTTTTTTTGTGTCTATTTTGCTAATGCCATTTTTTATCCATAATTCTTAAAATATTATCACATGATCTAAAAATATCACATTATATATACATTTTTTACAGTTATATTTTTGGATTTTAAGTATCTGTATGTTTTAATTCTTATTACTTTATTGAAAATAGGCAGAAGATATTACACTAACTATTGGGGAAGCTTTTGATCTGGCTTATAGAAAGTTTTTAGATACTTCTGGAAGAGATTTAGAAGCAAAGAAACAGCTAATGATTCTTCAAAAAAGAGTAAATTACTTTATACATAATATTTTTACCTAAAATTGAAATATACATTCTAGCTATCTTTTTTCAAAGATAAGAAAATCAAGTAGAAAATTGTTTTCTTCCACAATTGACTTTATTTTGTACAAAATTTTCTTTTAGATGTTTTTCAAATTTTTTTGTTCTTATACTTTTAATTCCCAATTTTAATTTCGTCTCACAACTGTCTTCAGATTGTAATTCAATTCGTTATATATATACCATTTATAATTAGTTATGTATGTTGGCATTCATCAAATTAAATCTTGATTATATTCATTTCATCATAATAATTTTGAAAATTAAGAATTTTTTTTTAATTTTCTCAGAGTTTATTAATTAAATTTATGTATTCGTGAAAAATTATTCATGTTTTGTTCTTTATTATAAGAGATTTGTAGCAATAACATTAATTTTACTTCAGGTACATGTCAAAATATATTGTTATCAGATTTATAAATAAGGTTCCTTTTTTTCAATATTTAGGTACAGGAGCTGGAAAAAGAAAATTCACTATTGAAACAAAGACTGTCAACTTTTACAAAAGAATCTATTACTAGTAATGGCAACATGAAAAATGGACAAACTGTAAGATATTCTACTATATTGCTTTTGATGCTAGCTTATAATAATTTGTATACTTTGGATGTTTTATTCTAACTTGTGTATACCTTGTAAATTGTTTGGAAATTCTCTATTTTCTCAAACCTCAGTTTTGTGTATTATTTTGATAGCTGAGATAATAAGTAGAAATGTTTCCAGAATTTTTTTTTTAATCTCTACTTGTTATTCTCTTCAAGTATAATTTTTTTTCAAAGTTAAGTAGAAAAAAATTAATAAAAGATTTATTTCTCTATCAACTCAAAATTTATTACTGTTTAAAAAATAAAAACATATGCTCCCTTTTTAATAGCTCAGGTAATTAATAGAGATTATTCACATTTTCACTAATTATATCTTACTTTCCTCAGTTAGATAGCAAATATATTTAAATTATCCAATCTGGGTTAAAACCAATTTTTTTTTTTTTAAAAAAAAGAAAAAACAGTCTGTTTTTTCTTCCCATTTTTAATTATTTAACTTATCATTTAAATAAATTTTTTCAGTTTGAATATGAAAAGGGGTGAAAAAGATGAAGTTTTCTCATATTTTTATACAATTTATTGCTAATATAAATCCATATTACTTTGAATAAACATAAATCTGCAGTTTTTAAGTGTTTATGTTACTTGCACTTTTACAAAAATATTGACATAAAATGAAAAAGACTATTGATAATCCCATGTTCTGTTAGTTTTAAAGTAAATAAATGAGTTAAATAATATTCAAACATTTTGGAAAATATTTCGACTCCGGCACTTTCTTTTTGCTCAAATCTTTCTTGAAATTAGTTTATGTAAATATATTTATATAATTAGTGAAATAAAGTTATAATTTCAAACCTCATTCTGGCAATCATGCTTTTAATTACAGCTGAATAAAACTTTACTTTCTAAAGCTCTTACACTAGAATTGAGTTTACAGCAAAAAACAATATTAAGAAATTTTTATTAACATCTACTTTTTATGTATTAAATATTTCTCAATATGAATTCGGAGTTATAAAATAATATACTTATTGTATGTGTTGTTTTAATCTTGCCTATTTCGATTAAGTTCTCATTTTTATAGCCACAAAACCTACTGAATTTGAATGGAGAAGCTGTTACTCGTCATCAGTCGACAATTGAGCCTGGTCGTAATGCTGCTTTGCAGCAGAATGTGCGTAATGAAATAAAGTCTATGCCACCCACCTCTCCGTCCCAGGTACTTATCTAAAGTGATAGAATCATTAATTTATTTTTCATTATTTGTTGATGCTTTATTTACTCTAAAATCATTATACTCACTGATAATTTTGTAGCATTGACGTGTTTTCATTAAATTTGTTAAACTGAAACATAATTATATAAGTTTGTGCCGTTTTGTACATAAAGTGTTTACTGTGGGTAAATAACATTAAATTATTTAAATATATAAGAATATTGAGCTGCTTAAATATATACGAATTTTGACTGCTTTTAAAAACCATATTTTTTTCAATTAGCAATTGAAAAACAATGTAAGTGTTTCGCAGTAGATTTTGTGAAGTTATTTACTTTCGATTGCTAGTGCTATAAACTAAATTATAATTTCTGAAACTGATAAAACAAAATTTATTTTAAGAGAAAAATATTTTGCAATAGATAGCCTATCATATGAAAATACCAACTATATTAAAATTTTTATTTTGAATTTGTCATTTACATTAATTTTTCTATTTCACAGCAGTTTGCACTAGTATAACAAATACAATAATTGGTTTTGAGTTAGAAATATTTTTCACCTTAGCTTTCAACAAATTCTTTTAATGTGTTACATCAATGCAAAGTGTGACTATTAAATAACAATATTTTTGCTATTAAACATATTTCAAATACAGAGATTTTTAGTTATTATCACCTTCAATATTTACTCTTCCTGTATCTCTACTATACTCTATGCAAATTCTCAAATGCTAGGAGTCAAATCTGTGAACTTTTTCATAATGTGTACAGATTTTACTTTTGCAGCTTTGATGGACTGAAATCTTGTTCCTTTTAATGCACAGTTCACTATGGAAAGCAAATAAAACTCGCATAGGGCTAGTCTGGCGAATAAGGGGGAATGTCTAACTTTGGAATGTTCTACTGGGCTAGAAACGTCTCTTGACAGACAATCCAGAATTAGTTGGCATGTTGTCTTGGAGAACTTGTTACTTGTTTTCCACATTGTTATGTAAAATTTAGTTCACATTCTTTGTCAACTCCTTTAATTTTGTGAATCACATGACTAGTTAACCATCAGTCGGAGTGAATGTGATTACCAACTTTTTCAATATTTTCATCTGTTTTTCCGTGAAAGGATGACCGTGAATAATTTTCGTCATTTACCAAGCTAACTTGAAACTGTTTATATCACTAAAAACTCGCAAACCTTTAAACATTCATTGCCATACATTTTTTGATGTTTTAGAATTGCTTTTCCCATGTTTCATGTGAAATTTTAATACAAATGAAAGCCAACAACAGACTAAATTGTCTACATGCATAGGTGGAGCACAATCGAAAAGGGTTTTCTACTACATAGCTATCTGTTGTTCACATTATGCACATGCATATTTCTTCTCTAGGGGCCCCCGGTCTCGTCATTTAAAAACCATACCTCATAAAACTCTTTTAAATAGGTTGTCAGCAATTTTATCTTGTGTAAGTTAAAGAAATTCTTCCAGACATTAAAGTTTGATCATTTTGTTGCCACTAAAACATCTTATTGCCTATAATCTATGTATCAAGTATTATCAAATCGTTATATAATTTATTTTTTTTTTAAATAAAAATTTTCTGAACTTAAAATTATAGCATAGTTGTACAAAAGTCATTTTTCTCCACTTATCAAATACAACTTACTTGTTTGTTTTGTTAATTTATGTATCTAAAACTTATTGGTTTTTCAAAATGATTATTAGTTTTGCATAATGATTTATAAATGAAAATATTAATTATGCTAGCATATTTGATGAATGGTTTAATATTTGTTGTTTATTTTATGACTAATTTAATCATTCTTCTGTTTAGGAGCTCTTTAATTTAGTTAGCTTTCCAATAGCTCCAGCAGTTGGAACTAAATTGGAAAATTTGGCATTAGATGAGTTTGAAGACTTTAATCCGAGAGAAGATAATGTAATCACAAATGGAAATAAAGGTTTGATTATAAACAAATCTATACATCTTAATATTATTAAGTTTCTAAAGCATTTTGATTTTAGTTAACATTGCTGTAACAAAAATATTATATTGCATTGCATCATTGAAAACCTTAGAAATTTTGTTTGTTAACGACTGTCTTTTTCTTTCTTTAGAAAATGTCTAAATTGGTTAGCAAATAGTTTAGGCTTTACTAATTATTGCTTACATAATTCAGAATTGGAAATTAAATTATTCTGTTTGATAAATCAAAAGAATAATTTCTCTAGAGAAATATTTCAAAGATTTTTAATGAAAAGTAAATGTGCTGTATAGAAGTTTATTGTTCTTCTGAAAAGTTTATAGTTTCCTTGCTAATAATGTGCTAGGATGACTTAACCACAAAGAGTTAGACATTTTCTCCATATTTATTGAAAATTAGGTCCAGAGGTAATCTAAGTTGTATTTCTATTCCTCTCTTTGAACAACCGACCTGATTTTAAGTTTAAGACTACCTATATTTAGCTTCGTAATTTTGAACCTAATGCAGAAAACAAAACAATTTCAGTCGAGGAATCTGAGTTAAATGATTTAATACATATTTTTTCCACTAGAATGGTTTAAGTTTCTCATAGTTACTAAGCAAAAATAATTAGGTAGCCACTGACAATATTATCAAATTTAAAATTATTTTCTAATGATTGATTTTATGTATTCTCAAAATAAGTTATTTTATTCCTTTTAATTTTTCACATTTATAAAAAATGTCAATTGTTTTTCTTTCTTCATTTAATTATGTATATTTTGTGGTGGTGATATCTGAATAAAAAGCAGGATAATCTCAGATTAATAAGACCTATTGGGACATGCACTGCATCATGGGAAGGTGTTTTTTTTTTTTTTTTTTGCCCTCTTGCTTTTTTTCCCTGCCTGGGAGAGGCAGGTTAAAAAAGGTAAAAAAATCATATTTTACATTCAGCATTTCAGCTCATTTAAATGAGACCACAGTTGTGGCAATCATAATAGTAAATCTTTTTTTTTACTCTTTACATTACTTTAAGAATAATTTTCTTGCATTATGCTGATAATTTTTTCCACCAATTGTTCTATTTAAAAATCTCTGGTTAAAATGTTTATCAAACGACCTTTATCTAGTTTAAGATAAATCATTATAGTAGCTGAAAAATTAAATTTTATGAATCTTTTTACTCAGTATAATTAAAATATCTAATCTAGTCCTTTGAATTTAATTTATAACCTGATTTATGTCTTTTAAAAAAAAATTTATCAAATGGCTTTTGTCTAGTTAAAGATAAATCATTATAGTAGCTCAAAAAGGAAATTTTGTGAATTTTTTTTTACACAGTTTAGTGACAAGTATAATTAAAATGTCTAATCTAGTCCTTTGAATTTTATTAATAATCTGATTTAAGTCTTCCCTTTATATTTCTACGAAATGAACATATCTTATTAGTTAGTATATTTACTTCCTTCGAGCAAAAGGACTACTTACTCAAATTAATTTCTTTGCATTATGAAACTTTCAAAATAATTTGCAAACACTTAACATAACTTCTTTGAAGTAAAGAAGTTCTCACCAACATTAATTTGTATATTTTACTGTGAATCTTAAAACTTTTAGTAAAACTTTTAGTTTTAAATAAGACTAAACATGCAGGGTAGTTCATACAGTGATGTATATTATGAACTAACTGAAGTTATTATTTTTCCAGCTAAAGCTAGCACAGACATATTTGGTGCTCCTCCTTTTAATCCCACCAAAAACTCCAATGCAGACCCATTTGGAATGGGTGATTTCAGTACCGTGCCATCGTCTCATGGCGTAGACTTAGAGAATGCCATTGGGGAACTTGATAAGAAAATATCAGAGATGAGAGTAAGTGTTATCCAATTTATTTTTACTTGTTAGCTGGTTAAGACAAAATATTTTGTCATACACAAACTGCTTTTGCAATGGGCATGACAACATTTTTAATCATGGACATTCCTTGAGGTGTGCTATTTCTTTTGAAAATCAGAGATATAGAGGGATACCAAAGTGAACTTTGACATTGCTGGTCTAGCTGCTACTCTATATTGACACCTTCTAGTGGCTATATCGGAGAAATCAGTTTGCTTTGCTTAATCTAACAGTAACAGACTTTCATACACTTCACTTGGTAATTCTAGATGATAGAAATTAAATATACTTTGGAATTCATTCAAGAAATTTAAAGATGGAAAACAATAAAACAAATGATTAATAATTTTTTTTGAAAAAAAAATTTTTTGAATTTAATGTAAATGACCACAATAACAAACTATATCTCTGTGCTAGAAAAATCTAAAGTTCACAAATTTTAGAGATGTTAAACTCTGTTTTGTTTTCAATTTTATGAAGTGGTATAATTTGTAAATTTAATTTTGAAAGAAATTTTAAGTGAAAATTTTTTTTTATAACCTCTTGAATGCTTATTAATCAAGATTTATGCATTTACAAAAAAAAAATGTATCTATATATTGAAATAAACTAAACATTTTTGTAAGTAATTTAAGCTTTCCAAAACATTAAATTTCATATGCAGAATAATAAATTCAACACGGAACGAAATTTTTACACTACCACAATGTTAACACACACTATTTGTTAAAAGAGCAGAAATTTCATCAGTATCATTTTTATAACATCTTGTTCCTCTGCTCCGATTTTTAAATAACTTAAAATTAATGTTAAATGTGTCAAACGCACTGATCTGTTCGCTTGTCAAGAGTAATGATTTTACTGTCCCAAATTGGTCAATTTCTATGTTAATACACAATGGTGTTCAAAGTTAAAGGAAGTTTAATATTTTGTTAACTCCTGAAATAATTTAATGTAGCCATTTCATACAATGAATATGTTCACTTTACTAAATGTGCAATGTGTTGCTATTCACTAAAATGAAATCATGGCTATCTACATCTATATATGTGTAATCTGTGTGAAAGGCCTTTGCAGGAATTTTTTTTCTTTAGTAAAAAAAGGGGAAGTGGTAAGATCAAAACTTTAATGCACTTTTCACGCGATTGCGTTTGACTTCTTGCTAGTATTAGGGATGTGTTTATCCAGTTTTTCCAACTTAATAAAAAATAAAATTGCCTCTTCAAATTTCCAAGAAAAAAATATTCGTTTTTAAGCTTTTTCCTATCTACGCAAACGCATCTAAAATTACATTCATATTTAAAATCGCACATTGCGATTTGTGTTTACATGATTTATATCAAATATTGTGTTTTATACATGCATGATTTAAAAGCCACTATTTTGATTTGTGTTTAATTCACTTAAAAATTATACATCAGAATTTGTATTTAGGCGAAAGAGTAATAAAAAGAAGCATTGATGTTCATATTCACATATTTTAAATAAAATCCGGCGCGGATATCTTAATCAAAACCTTGATAATATTCTGTGTATAAATTGCTTCATACATAATTTTTTTTTTTTTTTGCTCGAACTTCATGTATTTTAAAAAGTGTACTTTGCGCTTAACATTTTTAGATATAGGTTTTTTACCAAACTCATCCCGGTATAAATCAATATAGAGTTCAATAAAACCTAACATTTTTTAAAACAATTTTTGGTAAAAGTACATGGTGATGAAAGGGTTGGAATTTGTTTCAAGAGTAAATCAATTGATTGTAGAAAGTTTTTTTCTCCCCTATAAACGTAAGCATATTGTTCCAAGATATCATTCCTATATCTTACACCAGTCAGAATGCCTTTTTAAATATATGAAAGGATCTGCAGTCAATAATACACCTATTGCTGGAAGGTAATGGACCTCTAGCTCTCTATCATGTGAAAGTATGAGACAGAGACATGCTACTTTTTTCTCTTATTTCCATCATTATGGCTATGGTGTTTCAATGGTCTTAGCAGACTTCATGTGAGTTAGGAGGAAAAACAGCTGAAGATAGAAATCTAAAAATATGTGTAAAAACACTTTTTAAAAATTGAAATTTAGGCAAGAAAAGTGTATGGAAGAAGCATTTATCCACAGAATGTAATCAAACGTTTAATGCAAAATTGATATTTAAAATGTAAAGAGTAATTTTTCTTTCGGGCATTAGATACAGATTAACCTTTTTTATTAAATTGGGAAAAAGGAAAAAAGTTAATTTCAGCATGTGTGAAAGTGAAATGACTTAATCATGAGAAAAAGTCCTCAAATATTTGCACATTACGTGGATACAAAAGATGCTTATTCCTTTTTGCTTACCAAACGTACTGTCCCGTACGGGCAAGCTGTTAATGTATAGTAACGGCTCATATCAGTGTTTTATCAGTTTATTATTTCTGTTGTCTGTATGAATAAAAGTTATTTTTCGGATGATTTCCTGTTATAATTTATTTACAAGGATTATCTCAGTTCCTGTCCTACCTGGGGAGGAAGAAAAAAATCAAAAAAACTGATCTGCTGAAATAACACTAGTATTGTTATGCATGTTGCATATCATTTATTATCCTGGAGGACATCAATATTATTCCTGGTTTCAATGATGGCAACCCACAATACTGCCACAGAGTGAAACTACTGCTTTTCAGTATGAACAATCCTACTGAGATTGGGTCCCACGTTTTTTGAGGCATTGAGGACGTCAAGCATTCTTTTATTCAAAAACTACCACTCTGAAGATTTTTCATTATTGCACTGTTCAGCTGGAAAATTTGACTTGCATCACCAAATCTCTCTACAAAGATCAATAAATTGGCATATTTTGCTAATCGGAATGAAAAGAGAATAGGTAAAGTTTATCACTATAACTGCAGCAAATAATCAGTTTCCATTTTGCTGTATAATATAGAAGAAATCCTCTTTTTTAGTGTTTCAATAGCCCATAAAACTATTTGATCCATTCGTATGATAGCTTTATAGCTTAAGACACTGTTTAATGCATGTCACAAGCTGCTTTCACTATATGCAAAGGTAGAAGAGAAAATATTTCATTAAGGAACGGCTTCACTATGGTTTTAAACCTAGCTTGTCCTCATGCCACATACACTCTTGATAAAAAGATGTTACATAATTTGTGACTCTTGTCAGATTTTCCAACAGAACAATGCCTCAACTTTATGTTGAAAAATCTTTACGGTAGTTATTTTTCAATATTAATGTGCTTGTCATGATTATTCTGCCAACCTCAATCCCTAAGAAAATTTGCGAGCTGTCCTAGAACTGTTTATATCAGAAAGGAGCTGTTTCAGTCTATGGCAGAATTTGAAGACTGCCATCATTGAAACTTGAGACAATATTGATGCTTGTACTCTATATGGTTTAGTAAATGATATGCAACATCTATTTCAGGTCATATGTAAACGTTGGCTATTAGCAGTAGTGGCTTTATTTTGTTTCCTCTTTTTACTTATTCGATTTCTTTTCTTACCCAGGGGGGACAGGAACTGAGTTACTCCTTTGAAAATGTTTTTCGATATAGATTTTCTTAATATCTATATTGGGTTCTCATTGATTTTCTTCGCATCCAGTAATGGGACAAAATCAAAGTGGCTTTATCTCACGAGACATGCTGTATTAAGTTCAATAAATTATGAATTACCTTTACTGTGATAAACATTTATAATAATTAATTAAACTTTCAATATTTTTTTCACTCTTAAACATAGTTAGGGAGTTTCGTCTGCTTTTAATGATGTCATTCCTAATTGCGAAGTTTTATAGTTATGTACTAGTTTGCTTATTCCTCCATAAATTTGTTTTTATTCAAAAATTTTTATCTAGTCCATAAAAATTAACATATCAATTTTGTTATACTGCAATTCCAACATTTATAATCATTGACCTTAGTAAAGATTGATTGAATGTAGAGTTTAATGGCTCAAAATCCAAATGTGGACATGCTGCGCCAAAGAACTTAGTAAAGAAAATTTAGCAGTTTTAAGAATTTTATGAAAATAAATCAGTTATTTTGAACTTAACTCCAATTTTAGAAATTAAGTTTGTTTTTTTTTAACAAAAACTGGCACATAAAGTCTACAAATATGACATTCAGAAAATGGTGGACATTCAGAATCCTGTAACAAAATTCTATTTACCTGCTAAGCAGTAACTTGTATGAGCCATGCTATTCTTGTTTTTCGCTGTTAAAATTCTCCAAACCAGGTTTCCTGCACACTACAAAGGAAAAAGTTGCATATATTTTCTTTATTCTATTTCACATTTGGTTGTATCTAATTATATATTGAACTTTAAATATATATTACAAGTATAAAATTTAAAATAAGTTTAGTTGAAGTTTTAAAATTCATATTCAAACAATGTTGAATTCTCAGAACACAAAAACTCTTTTGACACTGACAAAGGTATTTAGTATTGTTAAAAAAATCATTTTCTTCTCTAATTCATTTATTTGTAACATTGTTCCTGCATTATTATTTTTTTTTAACTTATTCGTTTTTTTATCTATTTAAATTTTCAGGATGGTTTTTCACGGGGATTGTCATTTGGAAACGAAGACTTTTTTGATTCACATACTGCTGCAGAAACTCATTAAATTCTGTGTAAATGGACATTGTATTTTCTGGGCATCTCATATTTTAACACATAAAGCACAATTGAAGCTTAATTGCAGCACAGTAACTTGTAAAAATGTACATTACCAAATGGGACCATAAAGCTTCATGATTTAACAAGTTTCTACTTTTAAATTCACTCTAATTAGTTATCAGTATGTACAGTTTATAAACGTCAGAAGTTTGAATGTATTTTTAGGCCTATCCCAAGCAACAGATTTTAAAATTTTACCGTCCTTAACTAAGAAATCTTGAATTTTAGAGCTTAGTTATAGCTATAGCTTTTATTTTTTAAAAGTCTTGATAATGATTGTAGTGAGAATTTTACTTAGACTGTAATCTATTTAATTTAACCCTCTAAGCAATCTGTGCCTGTGCAAAATTGTGATGAAATATCATTGGTACACTAATCACACTACTTTTCTATTAAATAAGATGGAAATGACTGGTTTTTGATGCAAAAAAGCCAGGGCAAATGCTCAGAGGGTTAAGTTGAATTATTTTTATTATAAACTGAGAGAAATATATCCCATACATGAATTTTAAGATAGGAATTCACTAATAGATTTTCTTACTCGATATATCTAGCAACTTAACAGTAAATGTAGCAACTTGCGTCAGTTTTTCTGCGCACAATATATACTCTAATGATCGCAATGTACTTTGTATCAAATATATAATTGGAACTCCCAAACTATTGATGATATTCAATCCTGTTATGAAACAACCTGTAAAGGGAAGAAAAAAAAATTATTTTACAAAGCTCCTCTAAATAATAATTAAATTTTATAATTATTTGAAACCTGTCACAAGAAACAAATGTAGACTAATTGATGCATTGTTATTACAAATCATTACATTACATGTTACTATAATTTATAGTAGAAATAAATAATTTAATTGTAAATAAACTATATAGATTCTTTTTACTATATACAAAATTGTTTTGAGGATTATGATTTAGATTATATGGTATCATTGAAACAGTACTATTAAACTGAAACAAATGAAAATCAAGACAACTTTGTAAGATTCTATTAAGTGAAATTTTAAGAATTTATTTTATTTTAACAATGAAATTTAAAAATGTTGCCATTTACTTTATATTTACATACAGATAAATGGTATGATATATTTTTTCTAATATTCTCATATATATTTGCTTATAATTTGAAGTTAAAAATAGACCAGCAAAAATTAACTGTCCTTAAAAATATGTGCCAAAAATTAATGAGTTCCTTAAACTTAAATTTGTTATTTAAATAAATTTAAAGTGTTTCAAATTCTAATTAAATTTGTAAATAATTTCAAATATCTTTTGTGTTTTTATTTTAAAATGTTTATAAATTTAAAACAAATGTTAGTGATACTAAGTGTTTTTATCAGAAAAATATAATTTTTGCATATTTTAGTGGGGAAGAATAATTGAACTTGTAATTTATTGATCCAATTTTCTGCCTCCCTTTCAGTAAATTGCAGTAATATTGATAAAATGTTTTGCAATACATAACCTTTCTTTAATCAGTTGTTGCTGTAGTGTTACATAGCTATTATACATATAAATTTTGTGTTTTATTTGTGTAAAAAAATTGCTTCGGATTAGTAAAAAAAAAGTATTGACTAATAGTTTATATTAATTTATTTTGTGTTAGTGATTGTTAAATTTAAAAATTTGTATTGTTTCCTTTAAAATGGGAACTGTGTTTATTAGTTTTTATTGTAGAACCAATTAAACAACTACTGTTATATTGTTAAACTTTTGTATATACATTAATTTTTTTATCCAGTTTGTGTAAAAATGTCACAAATTTATTGAAGACAAATGCAAATATATTATAGTTTAATTTTTTTTTAATTTCTAGAACATTGACCAGTTTTGATGAGTTATTTCACACTATTTATTAATAAATAAACATGCGAAATGTCAAAAACCTTTGATTTAGTATGATAATCATAAAATTTTTACTGCTAAATAATTCAACTTTATTGTAATATGAATTAATCAAAAATGCCGACTGCCATTGTATATTGTTTTATACTGCACTTGAAAAATATCTAAGACAGTTAATATTATATTTTTTTTCTTCAAATTAATGTATAGATTTTTTAAAGGGCTAAGCAAAATTAATTATAATCCTTAAATTACAAATGACTTTAAAATTGAAGCAAATGGCCTTCTTCGGGCTTAAAACTACATTATGAAGAATGTAATCAATTTTTAATTAATTTCTATACAGGTTATACTTGTTGTTACGACTACTTGTCAAAGATAAAAATTACACTGAAAATTTAACAAGTATCTTAGTATGAATTTTATATTGCCATTTTATAGGTTTAGGTTAAGACAAAGAAATATATAATTTGTATATATAATATTCCAATCATAAGTACTGTGCCATTTATAAAAATGTCTGCGAGATATTTAACGATTTTTTAAAGAATAAAGTTGTATAATGAAATTTTATAAATCTAATGTTTATGAAACTTGACATGAACTGTGTTTGTATACTCATACTTTTTGCAGTTAATTAAGGATACTGTTCTGAAAATTGGAAATTTACAAATTTATTGTTCCTATTCTTTTAATGAATCTCTGCTGCTTAAAAAAAAATGTTCTGCTTTGTGAAATATGTTGAAAGATTAATTAATGTTTGGTTCTTCTGTTATCATTAATAAAACTTTTAAAAACCCAAGAAGTGTTGTACATGTGGACAGTTCTTCAGAATGTTTTTTTTTCCTTAATCAGTATTATATTTTAAAATAGTATCAGTTTATAAATTTTTAAATGGCAGGAAATTAACCTGTCATTGCCTTTGTTGTTTTGGGTATTATTTGAGTTAACTTTTTTTTTTTTTGGAGCTTGTGCAGTGAGGGGGGTGGGAGATATCACTGAGTTACTCTAGTTCTGAAGCAGTCATTTTGTGATAAATGGTTGGAGGGCTTAACCACAAATATGCTAAGTAACCAGTGCAGACAATGTTTTAAATTGCAAAATCAGACTCAAAAACATACTTTCTCTTTTTTTCTCCAATGGATTGGTATTTTTGACTAACATGTTGTTGTTAAAGACATACTTGGAAGTATAGTTCCAATAATTTAGCCAGGAGAGCGGTTGAAAATTTATTCATTTACACTTTTTGCTTATTTCCCTGTATCTAGAAAAGTTCAAGCAAATTAAAAAGTTTATGTACATAAAATTCGTTTATTCAAATACAGCCTCATGCAAAAAAATATTTTTGACTATTTTTTAGTTTTGTTACTTTATTTACTGTGTTTGAAAAAATTTTACACGTTAATTTTTATGTAATTTAAAACTATGTAGTTCAAAATAAATTTTTCTTTTCAATTCCGTAACTTATAATTAGCATATTTAAGGTCTACCACTTGAATCAGAATCAATAATTAGAATAAGTTATTTAGGGTTATTAAATTTTTTCATTGCACACTGTGTAAAAACAAAGTTTCACGGTAAGTAACTTTTATCCTGAAGGATCAGATTTTTATCTAATATAACTAGTTCACAGTTGATAAAAACTATTATTTTATAATTATCCACAAATTTTTTATTTATCAGTAAAATGTATTTACTAGATAAGCTTTTAATATTTTTTTTTTACCCTGCAACTTTAGTTTTTCCAATTCTAAGATACCTTTTTGGAACTTATTCCTGACTATTTTCTCTTATATATTAATGACGACTTTATATTAAAAAATATTCCAGAAATCAGTGACCTATTTATAAAACTCATGAATGCTTCATACCAAAAATATGCCTAAAAACATTCAGATCTGAATTTTATTAGACTTTTTAGTTCTGAGATATTTCTGGAAATATTCAGAATTTACAAGAAAAGCTATGTTAGTGCTACCAAATTCAGAGTAGACTGGGGAAGATCTGTATCCTGTTAAGACGAATTTTTTACAAAACAAAGAATAAGTTTGAAGGAATGGTAAACTTTTATATTAACTTCACTTTAACAATTGTTCATATAATGAAATGATATGTTGTCTTTCCCAGTGTCTTTACGATTAATCAAATCGAGCTTTAGATTAATCAAAACACATTTTTACTAGTTCATCCTATCAAAATAGAATTAATGTAATAAAACTTCACTGTATTCATGAGTTTTGACAGGTACCAAATATACTAATTGTACATGTATTAATATATTTGGTACCTATTAAATCTGCACCAATTACCATAACACCAGTAGTTCCTAATTTTTCACTAACCGCGATCACGATATTTCCGGAAATTCAAGGTTCAGAAGTGCCAAGAAATCATCTATCACATTTATGTGTAAAAATTCTTGTATATTTTATTTAAAAGTATTGGAACTAGAATTCATACTTGGCCTCTCTTTCATTTGAAAATATTTTTTCTGGTAGAATAATAAATATGATTCGAGATGAAAGTAAACTTACACATAATTATTAAATTAAATTATGTTGCATGTAATTTATTTAGAATTTTACATTGATAAAATATCACTGATTTAAATTTATGAAGAAATTAATTTTTTGAAATGCGTCATTAATGATTTTACTCAAGAAATTTTCATTATTTTTGAGTTGGGTTCACAATCTCCCCTGATTATGAATCTTTGACTTCAATAATACCGAATTTTTACGTTTACCGAATTTTTATGTTTCTCCTAAACGAATTGATACCCTTACTCCATAAATTTTTCTCTTTAGAAAGTAGTTTTATTATTATTATTTCAATTAATACCAACATTATCGGCGTCAAAAATGGTATGGCGAGTTTCTACTTTTAGTTACCTGAGGGACAACATAGTTAAGAATAGAAATGTGATGATCGGCGTCATTCCCGAAAGAAAACGAATTGTTGATTTCATTCAATAAAATTTATTTTTAAGGAAATTTTAAATACTGCTTTAACATACCACTTCATTTTGAATTACATTCATTTTGATTTAGAACTGCAGGGTATAATTGATCTTGACAGTTAAAAAATTTTCTTGATACATTTCTAATATGATTCATTGTTAACCTTATTCGAGTTTTTTATTAATATAAATAATCTCAACAAAAATCTCTTTTTTAAGTCACCATATATCTTTCATGAAATTTAAAATTACGTAAATGTTGTTTAATAATGAAATATTCTCCAACGATTACATATTAATTGTAATGATATCTTTTTTCTATATAATTTGTACCCTGATAATGTTTTAAAATACATTATCAGAATCTAATTTTACTTTCTAATCCGAACATAACCAAAGTCAAATTCTAAAAAATCAAGTAAAATCAAAATTCTAGTAAATTAATTCTATTTACGAGGATTTAATTTAATATTGACTGATTATATTGATTACAATTTTGATTATATTTTTGAATATTGATTATAATTATTAATTAAGTTTTATCTTAGCTTAATTTTTAGTTACAGTACAGAAACTATATTCAATTAATTTTATACTTAAAAGAAATCAACATAAGTATAGTTTCATAAAGAAATTCAAATGAAACAGCAACTTTTTTTTTTAATTACTGGAAAGCTCATTGCACTAACGCCTCTCTCACGAAACGCTGTAATTGTAACCCTTAATCACTGTAGTTTTTTATTCTTAAAAATCATTTAAAAAATAGTTTGGTTATGTAATACTTGTTACTCATTTTGTTAATATATTAATCGAAATGAAAAATAAGGATAACTAGATTTTAAAAATTATTACCCGCAGGTAAAAAAAGTTATTTAAACTTAATACAAAATTTGTTATACAACAAGAAGTAATTTCACTCGCTAAAATTAGTTACAGTTAAAATTAAAAATAGTTATAAATTGTTTTGAGCCTTTTTGTATTTTTAAAAATTTCGATAAAATCAATAACATCAGGCAACATCAATTCTCGCACTCTTGTTTTATCAAAATTTTTCATTTTTTGTAACTTTTGATCTGAAGTCAAGAGCCAGAATATAAAATCGAGATTTCAAGAGAGAAAATGAATAGGCATTATTTGAAGCAAGCAACGTGAAAGATATTGCGAAAAAAAGCGCATAAAATAGTAATCAACTTCGAACAAATTGAAATATCAATGAAAACAAAACAAAGTTTCGTTAAGTTAATAAATGAGAATGGTCCTTTTAGCACTTCTGTAATTTCATTCACGTGGACAGCTAAGTGGTTCACGTAGAGTATATAAAAAATACTACGTGATATACATACGAGTTTAGCAGTTAATAATTCTAGAACTAATTATCTGACTTTTTTTTTTATTGTACTCCTTTTAGTTTCCTCTATATCTCCGCAATTTCACTTTCAAGGTCTTATCGTTTTCGCTCTTTTAATACAAAATGTAACGTCAGGGCCAGCAGGAACTGGGGAGGGGGGGTTCCTCACATTTTATAAATAAAGGGCCCCTTTTATGATTACAAATTTTCATTTAATATTTGTGCAATTAAATTTACAATAAAAAATAGATATTAAATCTTTTTTCACTCATCGCCCATTTTGAAAGACAAAATTTTTTTTAAAAAAAAAAACTTAACAAACATTTATTAAAAGATTTAACATTTTTTGACTTTCGTTGTTTTAACGTTACAATTTTCTTTATGATAGTTAAAGTATGTAAACTTGATTAAATTTGTCTCATATTTAAAAAAAAATAATCAACTTGACTATAATTTTTAAGGAACTTCAAATGAAACTTGCAACTAATTTTAATTACTAGGAGTCTTATCTTACAATCAATCACTAGTTTTTTTTCTTAAAAAATGTTTTAAAAAAAAGATCATTTTAGTTTTTAAAATATTTATCACTCTTTAATGTAAGCACATTTTGTTAATAATCGTAACGAAATATACGGATAACTATAGATTATAAAATTAATCAACCGTACTTAAAATAATATTTAAACTTAGAAATACTCAATGTGTTACACAATAAGAAAAAATTTAACTTGTTAAGAATTTATGTAGATAACCTTCAATCATATAACAGTTTTAATCTCGTTTGACCCTTTATATCTTTAAAAATTTCGAAAAGAATTTTAATATTTATATCTGGCAACATCTAATGCACTGTAAGCAACACTGTATTTTTTTAAATTAAATTTGTTCATTTTTGTGTAATTTTTGTCATCAGTAAAGTTGGAGAGTATAAAATGAAGGTCTCGAGTGAGATTAACAATGGATAAATTGGCATTATTTTTATAACCCCTATCTTGCCTGTTGGATGAAATTTTTATGTGGGGACAGGTCTGCAATCCGCGTGTTGAATCGCACTGTTCTAAAGTGAGTAAGAGTATAAGAGCAAGAAAAACGTGTTCAATGTGCTTTTATTTTAAACGCAGAGAATAATGATTTAATAAAAAATATGGAGGTAGCAAAATAAAAGAGAGAATGTTCTTTTGAAGCCATATGGCGCCTAAAATTAATTTTTCATATATTGAGCTTCAGTATTTTTTAATATCCTTCCATAGTTCTGTCTACCGAATATCTACTATTTAATACATAAATTCTTTTTTTTCTCCTAAGCACTAAAATAATAAAAACAGCATGCTTCTGACAATTTTTATTTTTTTTAATAAAGACAATATCAAGTTTGTCAAAGAATTATTTTTCTTTATCCTGTCGCGGAATAAAAAATTTTAATTTTCCAAAATTAATGATCCTTTTAAAGCTTAATATGACTGCTTGACTTTTACTTTCGAAGAACGCGCAGTAA